CATCCATGCAAGCTGCAGACCTGAAGCAGGGGAGATGGGATGGGGTGAGGGAGGGGGATTTGGGGTGCATCCCGCCTCTGGCCTGGGTGGATGAGTGGTGGTGCCCCTAGCAGCATACTCAGATGAGTAAGAGATCCAGAATTCCATCTTGGTCTGAGGTTCCTGTAGAGTTGTGCAGGAGGTAACTGGGTCCTAGAGGGGATGGGGCTGAAGATGCTGATTCAGAAGCTGATACTTCATAGGAAAGAATGTAAATAAATGGAGAGGATAAGGTCCCTATGACATTCATTCAACCACCATTGACCGGGGACCTCCCGTTATTCCGGACCTATGCCAGACACTCGGACATCACAACAAACATGGCAGCTATGGTCTCTGCCTCACAGAGATCAGCATTCTTGTTCAGAGGGCAACACCATGACCAACGTGAGGCTATGAGTCCACAGGTCTGTGTGAGCCTGGGGCGCTGAGGGTTCACCAGGGTGGTCAGGAAGAACTCCCAGAGAAAACGGCCATCATCCTATTGTGTTGAGAGCAGAAGCATCAGACAGGCCACTGTGTCTTGCAACAAGAAGACAGGATTCTTGTGAGGGCAGATTCTGCAGTGCTGGAGGTGGAAGATGTAGAGGAATGAGCAGGCAGGATGGAGGCAGAAGTAGCCACTGCCGAGCATCTGCTTAGTTACTAAGGGGACCGCTCTCCAGTTCCCAGATGCCTCTTTCCAATGGACTGTGAGTGCTACAGTGACAAACACTCTATTTTCCTCTTCATCTCCCCATCTCTCTCTCTCTCTCTCTCTCTCTCTCTCTCTCTCTCTCTCTCTCACACACACACACACACACACACACATGCGCGCGCACACACACGGAACCCTAAGGATTTTGCTAGCTCTGACACAGAGTGGTCCTGCATCCAACCGAGTTCATCCTGTGATAATAACAATAATAATATGACAAAAGCTAACATTTGTTCAGTTCAGTCGCTCAGTCGTGTCCTACTCCTTGCAACCCCATGAACAGCTGTACACTAGGCCTCCCTGTCCATCACCAACTCCCGGAGTCCACCCAAATCCATGTCCATCGAGTCGGTGATGCCAACCAACCATCTCATCCTCTGTCGTCCCCATCTTCTCCAGCCCTCAATCTTTCCCAGAATCAGGGTCTTTTCAAATGAGTCAGCTCTTCTCATCAGGTGGCCAAAGTATTGGAGTTTCAGCTTCAACATCAGTCCTCCAATGAACACCCAGGACTGATCTCCTTCAGGATGGACTGGTTGGATCTCCTTTCAGTCCAGGAGACTCTCAAGAGTCTTCTCCAACACCACAGTTCAAAAGCATCAATTCTTCGGTGCTCAGCTTTCTTTATAGTCCAACACTCACATCCATACATGACCACTGGAAAAACCTAGACTAGATGGACCTTTGTTGGCAAAGTAATGTCTCTGTTTTTTAATATGCTGTCTAGGTTGGTCATAACTTTCCTTCCAAGGAGTAAGCGTCTTTTAATTTCATGACTGCAATCACCATCTGCAGTGATTTTGGAGCCCAGGAAAATAAAGTCAGCCACTGTTTCCACTGTTTCCCCATCTATTTGCCATGAAGTGATGGGACCGGATGCCATGATCTTAGTTTTCTGAATGTTGAGCTTTAAGCCAACTTTTTCAGTCTCCTCTTTCACTTTCATCAGGAGGCTCTTTAGTTCTTTTTCACGTTCTGCCATAAGGGTGGTGTCATCTGCATATCTGAGGTTATTGATATTTCTCTTGGCAATCTTGATTCCAGCTTGTTCTTCCTTCAACCCAGCATTTCTCATGATGTACTCTGCATATAAGTTAAATAAGCAGGGTGACAATATACAGCCTTGACATACTCCTTTTCTATTTGGAACCAGTCTGTTGTTCCATGTCCAGATCTAACTGTTGCTTCCTAACCTGCATACAGGTTTCTCAAGAGGCAGATCAGGTGGTCTGGTATGCCCATCTCTTGAAGAACCTTCCACAGTTTGTTGTGATCCACACAGTCAAAGGCTTTGGCATAGTCAATAAAGTATAAATAGATGTTTTTCTGGGACTCTCTTGCTTTTTTGATGATCCAGCAGATGTTGTTGTGTGCACTAATAGTACACTTGACACTATTCTGTGTATTATGTGCACTGCTTGAGTCTTCACAACACCTCTTATTAAATGGATACCATGTACTCTCCCCAGTTTACAGATGAGTAACCTGGAGCTTGGTTGACTGATTTGTCCAATATGGTATTAGTGTCACATTGGTGTTGTGTCCAGGCTGCCTGGCCCAGACCTGTCCTCTTAACCTCCCAGTGGGCATCCAACTGGAAAGCAAAATCTCTGGCTGAACTAGAAACTGCTCAACTGCACTTCAGACCTGCCCTATGCACCCAAATGCCTCCTAGTCCTCTCCTTGTAGACATCCCACCAGCTCCCAAATCACTTGTCCAAATGCATCCTCACCCCACACACTCCTGCTCGTCCCCTGGCACCTGTCATTCACGGGGCCCCCCACTACCCAGTGCCTTCTTGAGAAGCAGGAAAAGGCTCCCCTCCCTGAAGGCTGAGGCGCAGTTCACACAACCCCATCAGTGCTCCCCAAGAGGTTCCACCACCTTCCAGCCTGCTCAGGACGATCCTGAGACTCATCCCTGAACTTCCTCTCACTCTCTCTCTCATCAAGCTCTCTATTCTTCCTCCCCATGGAGCCAGGGTCTCCAGAGAGCAGGGCACCACAAACATTATCATTCCTTATTCTCTGGAATAATGACTCAAGACAGAGGCCATGGGACTCTTGGACCATTTCTGAGAGAAAGGGAGGTGCGTCATGAGGACCGGATGCGAAGTCCCCCAGAGCCTGGCCCCACCAGTAGTACTCAGAACCTGAAGTTTTCATGGAGCTGGCCTCTAGGGACACAAAGAGGGGGCGCTGGAGGCCCGGCTGCCCTTGAAGCTTGCAGTGCAAGGTACTGCACAACCTGTGAGGTCCCCAGTGCCCGGCCATAGGAAGGTCTTTGGTCCCAGTGCTTAAAGGGGAAGAGCCCCGTGAAGGTCCAGTTCAAAGGCTCTACTGAATCCACTCTTCTCAATGAGTGTGCAGCCACCAGGAGGCAGCTGAGGCTGCGGGCAGACGTGGGCAGGGAGGGGGAGAACAACCCCTCCCCAACAACTGAAGACCAGATGGAGCATCGGTGTTCACTGACCCCAGGACCTTCAGCCAGAGAGAGCTTGAGAGCGGGTGTGCAGGTCCTGTGTGTGTCTGTACCTATGTGGGGCGGACGGGTATGGACTGGGATTTAGTCTCTCCTTCTGGGTCTCTTCGCTACTCCTTGGGCTTCCCTTTCCTGGGCCCAACCGTGGATGCTGGTGACTCAGAGAGGAAAGTCACCCCCTGCCTGCCCTCAAGGAGCTCCCAGACCTGACACTGGAGCTGCACACAGACAAGGAAACAGGCAACACAGGGCAATGAGTGCAGAGATGCTGGTGTGGCCCAGAGGAAGCCCTTAGCCCAGGCCTCAGGGCGAGCTTCCCAGAAGAAGTGACTGCTAAGCCAAGCTTAAGGGGTCTTCTGGCGAGTCTCAGGTGCAAGGATAACACATACATTATCTCTGCTTCCTCCTGGTAACCCCGCAGGGAAGTCATGACAGAAGCAGTCTTACTGGCAAGTGAAAAGAACATCCAGAAGCCCAGGTGGTCCCACAAGCAGTGAGGCGAAGAGCTGGACTTTCAACTAGAGTCTGCATGATTCTTAAGCCCCAGCTCTCGGCCACTGTGTGGACTGTTGGGGTCTGAAAACTGGGAGGAGAGCCAAGCTGGGGGCTCCAGGCTCATAGACCAGATCTGAAGGGGAGGCAAATGCCTCCCATCTTCATCCCAGAGCAAGTTCCACCGGTTCCAGCCACCTGACTCACCTGAGAGCTTGGTCTAAGGAGACAGGGTAGGATAAGGAGAAAGACAGCCCATCACAGACAATGGACACCTCCCATTGCCCCCACTCCTCTTCCCTGGGCTGGGGGAAGAGACTCTGCCCGGCAGACGTTCCCTGGTGATATTAGGCTCCCTGAAATACAATAAGAGTGCAGTGTTTCTGCTCATGTTACTCTGAGCATGAGAGAAGTCATCTTGAAAATTATTCCAAGCCCCTGCCACTCTATTTTAATAACACTCAAGCTAGGACTCCGCACCATTTTTTCAAAACCAACTCCAGGCTGGAAGTTCCTCTTAAAGTCTAACTGAAGTAGGCTGTGCTGCAACCTACTTTCAACTCTGCAGTTGCTGGGTGGGGCTTTTAGCGTGATTCGGAGTAACCTACAATGTAACCCTGTGAAATCCACACGTTTTAGGTAGAGGAAGAACAGGAAAGGTGCCGGCCGTATTCCAGAAAGCTGGAGGAGCAAGAATGTCTTCTGGGAGTAATAGAACCTCTGGGTCCTGGAGCCAGGGCCTGAGCAGCCTTCGCCTTCTGCCCAGAGAGCAGGCGGAGGGATCCGCCGGAGGTCAAGCTGCACAAAGAGTGAGTTGGATGAGGGCACCGGCCTTCGCCCCGCCTCGAGGGGCATCAGGGCAGCGCAGGTACGTGGGGAGAGCTGGGGAGAAGGCAGGGGGAGAGCCCGCTGGAAAAAGAGGGCGGGTGAGAGGTGAGAGAGAAGGCGTGAACAATGAGTTCAGGTGGAGGAAGGAGAAGGAAGACACGCGACCGATACAAGAAGACGGAAGTAAAAACTGCGCTTGAAAAGAGACTGGAGCACAGACACGGAGATGAGTAAAGGCGGGGAGAGCCAAAGAGAAAACGGGCTTGGGACTGGGAGGTCCGGCCTGGGGAGAAAGGGATGGGGAGGGAGCAGGAAGGCGTTGAAGGAGCATCCTCCCCCTTGTCTGTCAATCAAGGAGCTCAGACTCCCCTTCCCACAGGGCGGGAGGGGCGGAGAGCTTCCCCAAAGTCCCCTGACGCCCTGCTCCAGCCCAGAGGCTCCCCCTCCCAGGCCCCCCGAGCGATGCCCCCTCGAGACTGGCTGTGCAGCCCCGATAGATGGTGGGGGGCCCAGCTGGCGCGTTATCAGCCTCCTCCAGGAGCCAGCCTGAGCCACCCAGCGGCTGCCAGTCTGCGATTAGGCCCCCGGAGGGTCATTAAGCACCGCCCTGGCCCGGACCCAGCCTCCTTTCCCTCCTTCCTCTGGCCAGACTGGCAGGTGGGAACTGGCGATAAGGACTGGGGGCTCCGGCAGTTCTGGGGCCGGCAGCTCCACGCCCCCTGCCCCCTGTCAGGGCAGGAACATGAGGTTGGGAGGAAGGTCAGTGCCAGCCCAGCCCCACAAGGACCCCAGGATGGAGTTCCCACTATCCTTGTCCAGCTGGTGGGGAAGGGGCTAAGGAGGCTCCTGGAAAGGCCCGGGGGTGTTTGGGGGGGGGGGTATCTGACCCCTCTACTCACCCACCGGGCCACCCCAGCCCAGCCCACCACGCCCCACACCTTCAGCACCAGGACAGGACAGAAGCTGCCACAGCCCCTGCTGGTAAAGGGTGAGGGGCTAGAGGGGAAACAGACCTGGCAGGCCAATGAGGAGTCAGACTGGGAACCGCCTCCCCCTACCCCCGACACCCCTAGACAAGGGGGGGGGGCTGCTGAGGTGAGACAACAAGGGGCTGAGGTGGGAGGAACGTAGCTTCATACAAGGAGGATCAGACCCAGGCAGCCAAAGGCTGGGCTGGCTGGTCCCTTGACTCTGTCCTCTGGTCTAGTCAAGAAGACTTCCTAGAAGAAGAAGTACCTAGGCAAGGCCAAGGAGAAGGAATGTGCAGAGTTTACATGGGCAGAGGGGGGTGAAAAGGCATCCTTCCATGTGTGCAAAAGCCGAGAGTGGGAATCACGGGAGCTCTAGCCACAAGTCACTGAGCTGAAGCCCAGAGAGAAGAGGCGAGTCACACAGCAGGGCAGAGACCCAGCCAGCCCTCAGCTGTGGGATCTTCCCTCTGCTGCAGGCTGCAGACTAGCCCCCAGTGAGATGGGAGGGATGGTCTGGATTTCGGGTGGAACTCCCCAGGGGTATTTGGGTGAAGCCCTGGAGCAGCACAGGAGCAGCTGTAATGGAGGAACGAGAGGCTGTGACAGGTTGAGACAGGTGGCAGAAGGAGATCTGAGGGACAAGGTGGGCTGCTTCCTGCCCTCCAGCCCCTCTCCTCTGGAACTTGGAGTGCTCCCGGGAGAGCCCACCTCCAGTTGCCACCCCAGACAGAGACAGAGGCTGTTCTCATGAGAATGACAGTTCTAGAAGTGAGGGGTCTCCAGGGTCAGCCAACCCGGTAGGGTCGTGTCCCCTCCCTCCTGCTTCATTCTCCCAGGGGGCCCAGTTCCTTTGCCCCACCCCCACCTGGGTCTGGGAGCCAGTAGCTTAGGAAGGATAACTCCCACTCAAGCTTTGTGGTGAGCCTGGCTAAATCCTCAGAGGGTCAGCAGAGCTCAGAGAGGACATTGACTCTCCAAAGTCACATGGCAAGTCAGGAGGGGACTTGCTCAGACTCCAGTCCTAGCCCTAGACTTTCCCTAGTGCTTCCAATGCCTGAAGCCCAGCCCAGAGGGGCCATGGGGATGAGGACAGAACTGGATGAATGAGCAGCGAGTGAACCCGCTGCAACGTCTGGCTCCATGGAGGCAGGGTGGAGGGGTCAGTGTTGGTGCTACATGAAGAGCCCAGAATCACCCAGATCTGCAGTTGTGAAGGGCAGGTCAAGAGAGGAAGACTCGGGACTTCTTTGGAGGTGCAATGAAGAATCCTCCTTGCAGTACAGGGGACCCAGGTTCAATCCCTGGTCAGGGAACTAAGATCCCACACACCGCGGAGCAGCTAAGCCTATGCACCACAACTAGAGAGTCTTTGCACCGCAAGGAAAATCCTACTTGACGCAACAAAGATCCGCATGCTGCAACTCAATGCAGTCAAATAAATACATGTTTTCTTTAAAAGGGGAGAGGTGCTTTTTAAGAGGGTCTCTGCCTGGAGCAAGAAGTGTGCTCCTTGGCCTCGGGGGTTCTCCCAGAGAGGACTTCCTGGAAATTCTCCAGAATCACCATGACAGTGGCTTTGGAAGATGAGTCAGAAAGCAAGATTGGGCCTCTCTGGAAGCCTAAGGAGCTATTTCTGAGCTACTTAGAGCCTCAGATCCAGAAGTATAAAATGTCTTTATTTCACAGAAATAAGGGCCATTGCCACGGTCGGGGGAGGGAGATGTGAGGCAGGATGGGAGGTGCTGAGCTGATTGTCTTTTTCAGAAGAGTCTTCTGAAATGAATTGGGCAGGAGACCCCCTAGAACCTCAAGGCCACAGCTGAGCCCCAACCTGGACACCGTCTGAGCATGGACCTTGGCAGGAGGGTGGGACAGATGTGGGGGTGGAGAAGGCAGGCCCCTTCCTGCTGATCCCTGTAGAGAGAGGGAGGGGGCTGGCATGGACAGGCAAGCAGGGGTCACATCGGGGTGCTGCGGACCTTGCCCTCCTCCTCTGGGATGTTCTCATAGGCATTCTCGTGCTCACTGGACCTGAAAGAGGATGATAGGGGTCATTGCTCCTTCTATCCCATCCCCTTCTCCCTGCCCCATCCCGCACTTGTGAGGGCTGTGTCTTCCAGAATAAATGTTTGAGTCCCAGAGGGGGTTCCCTTGACCATATCTGGTCTCCTGCACCTGAGACTGGAGGCCTCTCACCACCACCACCCTGAATCCCATCTCTCTCTGCCATCTAGCTTCTTCCCCGGGGAACCCCACTAAGAAACCCCCTGTTGAGCCCACTTCCTCACTGAGCTTCCTCCCCTACAGATTCTCCTCCCCACAGTCCTTCTACTCATCCCTTCAGAGTCCCTTTCTTCCACTGAGCCTCTTTTCCCCATTACATCCCTCCCTATGAATCTAATCTACCCCCTGAGCCCCTCCCCGCACCGAGTCCCTATCCCCTTACTGAGCCCTCTCTCCAAACTGAGGCTGCATGGAGCCTTGCAGTCCTCCCAAAGGCCCCTTTGCTCACCATCCTCCCACACTGAACCCTTTCTCTTCATTGAGCCCTTCCCCACATGAGCCACCATCCTCCCCACGCTCTCCTCATCAAAAGTTCCTGGTCCTGAGGTCCCCGGGAGCCCCTGGAGCACAAGGTGATCTGCCCTATACCAGTGCCTCACCTGAAACTTGCTGCCTTTGAGGAGTACTTGCCATCTGTTCCCACCAGGATCCCATCTGCTTTGTTTCCAATGGTCATGACCATGTTTATAGGCTCCCTAGGGACAGAGCTCATCAATAGGGCTCCCTGGGTTCCCTCTCCCTCTGTTACCCCTCCTCCTTCTAGTCCAGTCAGGCCCAGTTTTATAGGCTCTAGGGGAAGCCCCTCCCTCCAGCAGGGCCCAGCAGCCTGGTTCTGGCCACACTCTAAGGAGCCTCACACCCTTCTCCCTGATCCACAGTGGGGCCCTCAGGTTCCAGCCTGAGGTCTACTAAAGACGTACCAGACATCCTTGTACCAGCCACCTCCCAGTCTCCCTCTGCTGTTTTCCTCTGGCCTCAGCTCAGCTCCAGAGCAGACCCGGCAGCCCTCAGTGTCTGTCTCAGTTTTCCCACAAGGTTTTCCTAAACAGTAGGAATGGCCGCTGAAGGCAGAGCTGGGGCCAGTGGAGAAAAGAGTCATTTCCAACAACAATCTCCTTGCCTCTTACTCAAGGGTGGCCTTTGCCCCAACATCCCTGGATACCACTCTCATGAGGGTCACCAGGATCCTAACCACTGCTTATCTTTCCTTGGACATCCCACAGGCACCTCAGACATAATATATCCAAGTTGGCCCAGACCTACCTCTTGTCTCATGGTCTATGTATCAGTGGGCGGCCCCATCAGAAGCCTGGATGTTTTCCCTGTCCTTCCTCCCTCCTGTCTCTGTGTGCTGACCCCTTCCTTCCTTGACAGGTCTTAGATCTGTCCCTTCTCTCCATCCCCTCTGCCGCCTCCACAGTCCAGACTCTCTCCTGACCTCATCCTCAACCCTTTTTTTCATCTGCAGACATCTCATCCCGAGACTGGCTTACACACTTGCACTGGATCCCTACTGCATTAAGGACAAAGCCTGAAGTCGGGGGCCTTAGTGCACAAGCATCTGCCTGGCCTGGGCTCTGCCAACCTTGCCAGCCTATCTCAGGCCTCTCCATCCCTCTCTCCATCTGGGAGCTGCTCATGTTCATTCAGTGTCTCCTGCAGGGCTGCTGCTGGCACCCAGGACCGGGCCACCGGTATGAGAACCAGGGGTAGACACAGACTTGCCCCAGAGTTGACAGGTGCAGAATGAACTAGATTTCAGCCCAGCCCACTCTGCCTTTGTGCTCTGCCCCGAACTTAGGACCCCTCAACTGCAGTGCTCTCCCACCCTACACTGTGCTGGGACTGGCTCCTGCCTGGGCTTCAGGATAAACATACAGTAGGAAACCTTCTCTCGTCGCCCTCCTTCCCCCCCCAGGTCAGGCCCACATGGCACTCTGCAGGCTTCTTTAGCATCAGCCTCAAGCTGCGATGGCTCCCACCAGGTTTGCCTTCCCTTCCCATCTGGGAGTCTGTGAGCACAAGAGCAGTGTCTGTCCCATTGCCCCTTTGTACCTCCCGAATGTGACATACCAGCAGACCCTGGAGAAGGACAGAACATTCCTGTCCAGGGGTTTTCACAGCCCCCATCACAGATGGGCCGTTGTCCCAACTATACAGATAGAAACACTGAGAATCCGAGAAGAGACGACCTGCCCCCAGTGAGCACACTCAGCTGTAGACGCTAGCAAACCTCCGCTCTGCTCTCCGAGACCTCAGGCCTCCGTGTCCCTTCCACACAGTGAGAGGATTTCATCAACCCTTTTCCCTGCTACGAGAGCAGTGGCCGGGGTCCTGGTCCCACCCTGCCTGCGCCGGCCCAGCTCCAGGGCTGCCCAGGCAGCACTCACGGCTCTTCCTGGCACCAGAAGTGGTTGACAGCAAAGGCGATTGCGACGAGGACCAGGAACACAGCCATGGCGATAAGGCCTTGCATCCAGGGCTGCAGGTTCCCCCGGCCTGGAAAGGGAGGAGTGTGCTGTGTTTTGGCGGGGGGGTTGTCCTGCAGCAAGCTGGGCACAGCCAGTGCGGGGGGCCCTCCTGCCTCTGGGCAGGGGCCTGTGCTGGAGGCTCCCAGCCCACTGCCTGGACCGGAGGAGACCGTCTGGGGAACAAGGACCCCGTCTGACCACTGGCCTTAAAAGGGGATGGTGGTTTGGAGGAAGACAGGATTTGGAAGAAAGAAAGGAGCCAAGGAGGGAGGAAGCCTCAGAGAGCAGCGTCTGAGGTCCAGGCAGCCCAGAGTGTCCCCTCCCCCAGCCCTCTCCCGCTGCAGTGGGTCACAAGTAAGGGCCCCCAGGGAAAGCCTCGGCCCAGGGACCAAAGGGCAGCCCCCTGAATAGCCAGCCTGGCCCTGCCAGGGAGGGTGGCTCCCCTCCTCCCCTGCCCCCAGGCTGGAGCGGCCCAGAGCTAATAGGACTGGGCTGGCATCTGGAAGATCCTGTTTTGTAGCAGAGGTTCTCTGGGGTTGGGTAGGCGTGGGAGCACCGACAGGCAGGGCCGCGCAGCTGGGGGTTCCAGGGGTGCCCAGAGGAAGGGTGGGATGGAACACGTTTGGAAAGGCAGGACAGAGGGCCGAGCTCTCTCTGGGTCTTGGCAGAAGGGGAGCTTCCAATCTGAGCCCTTTTCAGCTCCTCTGGCTGGGTGCCCAAGGGACTAGGCCAGACACCAGTCTGAGGCCCCATCCAGGCACCTTCTTTGCGTCTTGACCCTTGACCCTTGACACCACCTCTAACCCTCAAGATTTCCCAGAAGTCTCTGCTCTCAGCCACTGGCAGCCCCAGAGGGCTCTCCTCTCCCCGGACATCACCATGCTCTGTGAGCCCGAGAGAGCCTGGCCACACCACGGACAGACACGCAGTAGCAGTTAGATGTCTCAGGAAGGGACAGAGGCCAACAGGAGACTTTTGAAAGGTCCTGCTTCCAGGCAAGAATACCTGCATTCCTAGTGCCGTCCTGTACCTAAAGGACCCAGGCTGAGCATCAGAAACTTCATTCTGCCTCATTCCCTCTCAAAGGTGCTTCCTTGAGTCTACCCGAAAGCTCTCCTGCTGCAGGGAGGCACTGCCTTCTCCGAGCAGTCCCTGATCCTGGCAGGTGTTGGGAAGGAGGGAGGGCCCTGGGAACTCTGTCCTGTGGTCAGACCTTGCTCATCTCCTTGGGTGACGGGAGATACACAGTGTGGTCACTCTATGTTCCATACTTGCCAAAACGCTGTGTTTTGGACTCCTTGTTTCCCCAAAAAACAATCGTTCAAGCCCTTTGTTTCCTCAGTGGCTACTCAAGGACTGGGGGTCAGGGCTCAAGCCCTGGGGAGGGGAGGCCTGTCTCTGCAGCCGATTCCTTCCAAACACACCAGGGACACTGCTCCTCCTTCCAGGTGGCTCAGGGGTGGACACACAGCACAAGGGGCAGGGCCTGCGGCAGGAGAGAGGAGATCTAGCCCTGTCCCTTCTTGCTCTGCTGTGTGACCGACACAAGTTACTCAGCCTCTCTGATCTTCAGTTCCCAAAGAGGGCTTCCAAGGCCTGAGAGACAGAGTTGAAGCAGTCATGCATGAGAGCTCAGGGCGTCTGCAAAGGAGGGGTGCTCTGGAAGCCAACCCCTCTGGGCCCAAAGCCCACCTGCAGAGTCCCCAGACTCTGGCTGCAAACACAGCTTCACAGCACAGGGCAGACACCAGGTGGTGGGTGTGGAGCTTTACCCATACAAAGCCCTACCCCACCCCTGCAGGGCAGGTGCCCTGGGAGGTGGACAGCCAAGTGTATTGTCTTCATTTTATGGATGAGAAAACTGAGTCTCAGAGAAGGGCAGTGATTTGCTCATCTCCTTGGGTGGCGGAAGATACACAGCACACAGCAACACAGAGGCAAAGCTGGACAGAGAGCCCAGGAACATGGTGGGAGCCCCACTGGGACTTTGGGTGGAAACAATGGGGGTTTAGGCCAAAACCATGACAGCACCGCCCCAGAAACAAGCCTGCCATTGAGGGGTGGCTCAGCCCCCAACCCCACCCTCCTGGAAGCCCCCAGCTCTCAGAACCCAGCCATCTCTAGGGCAATTCCTGCTCCTGGAGCGTGGATCTCAACTCCCCTCCCCAACCCTAGATCCAGCGTTTCCCTGCTGCCCTCATTTCTCACTTGTGGGAATCATGTCCCAGCCAGAAGCCTGTGTCTGCCTCTGGAGGTTCCCCAGGCTAGCCCAGTGCTTTTTCCCCCTCCAACCTGCAGATGCCAAGGGTGATGAGAAGGACCAGAAGACCACCCCTTCCAGCCCTGGGCTCCCAGCACCCAGCCCGGCCCTCTCCTCCCCACAGCCCCTGGGCTGGCCCAGGCCCTGCTACCTTGACAGCTGGCGGGGGGGACTGCCATCAGCAGGCTCAGGACGACCAGGCTGAGGGCTGACATGGCTGCAGGCACCTGCTCGGGAGGCTGGAACCCGGGCCCCTGGAGCTGCTGTGGGTCCTGTGCGTGTCCGCTGAGATCAGCTTGGCCTGGTTTGACCCTGGAGGAGAGAAGCTAGTGAGGAAGAAGGCGAGGGAGGGAGGAGGAGGGAAGGTGGAGGGAACCTGCCCTCCCTCCCACAGTAATGAGCTGCCAGGCCTGGCCTTCCCTGGCCAGAGCCCAGCCCACTCAGGCTGGCATTTGAGGTCATCTTCCAGGGACCGTGGGGCTGAGCCCTGGGAGGTGAAGGGAGTCGGGCCTCACCTCCAAGCCCTAGGCCCCTGAAATCTTGTGTCAGCTCCCCCTTCCCGGCAGTGGGGCTGGGTTCTAGGGAAAGGTGTGACACATTCTGGCTCCTGCCTTTGAATGAGCCCAGTGGGCAGGGCTTCTGGGCAGGGCTGACAGTGGGATTAAGAAATTTGCTGGTTGGTTCCGGACTAGGGGAAAACCACAGAGGCTAGGAAAGGTCAAAGCTGCCTTCTCCCTGAGAGCCTGGCCTTTTTTCTGTCCTTATCCTCACCTGTCCCCACTCAGCCAAGCCAGACCCCAGGGTCCCACTCCCGCACACAGCCCTGGCTTCTGTCCCTGCACTCCCTGCCCGGTTCACTAGCTCTCTAAATCCGCCCTTTCCCTTGGGAATCACGACAGAGAGCCTGAGGCCCTAGTCCCCAGCTGTCCCCACCCAACCAAGCTGACCTGACTCAGTTCAGCTCCACCTCTTTGCCTCAGAGTTGATCTTTGGAAACTGGGACAGGATCTGAGCTTGGTCAGAGGCCTCTGCACACACCTTCTGATCCCTCTCCACCCATCCCAATGAGAGAAGTAAGTGTCCTGCTCTGGAGGACAAATGAAGGACATTCACAGGTTGGAAGGTCCAGTCTGGGGCCCTGAACCCCTGGGTTCTTAAATCTCAAGATCCCATGGAAGTCATCAGGCCCTCCAGCTCAGGATCTGAGAATGACCCAAGGTTCTGTTGAGGCCTGGGAGCCAAGGGTCTTACTGGGTCTCCTTCCTCTATGCCCCCTTACATTCCTCCAGGAGTACAGGAAGCCACGGATGCTAGAGTCTGGCTCCACAGAGGCCAAGAAAGAAGGAACCAGTAGACTGGGGCAAAGTCTCTGAGATGGAGGGTCCCCAGAAGCTAGGGTATGAATTGGAAGCCCCTGCACAGCCTCTCTGCCCAGATACCACCAGACTGGTGCTCACAGGACCTCTTGGTCAGCCTTTGCTATTGCCAGTGGCACACCCAGACATCTCACCTCATCCCTGCTTCCTGTATGTATGTGTGTGTGTGGTTGTGTGTGCCCACTGCTATGGGGATACACACATTCATGCAAACATGGGGTCTCAAGGTGAACTCAGGGAACTTGGCTTGGAGGTGAGTGATGCCATCTATAGGTGTCTGTCCTACTCCAACTTGGGTCTTCAGCGTGTTCTGGCACCATGTGTGGCTAGAGTAGGCACCTGGTGTGTTAATGAACACCCAAGGGCATCACTGCTTGGAACGCAAGGAATGGAGTTGAATTTAACAAACAAACACTGATAACCTTCTTCTAAGCAGGGGAGTTACAGGATCAGATTTGCATTCGAGAAAATACCTCTGGACACAGAGTGGAGAATGAAAGGGGCGCCCACAGGCAGTAGAAAGGAAAGTCATGGGGAAACTTACAATAGCCACACAGGGCTGCAGGGTGAGGCAGAGGGAATGGGATGGAGCCCTATTTAGGAGGGCTGAATGGACAGGACACGGTGCCAGAACACTGACTAGCTGGGAGTGGGGAGTGGGCAGCGAGGACCCGAGGGTCACTTCCATTTGTGGCTTGGTGAGGGGCCGGGGCAAGTTCCAGGGGGTGGGGAGGGGTGACGAGCTACAGGTTTAGATGTATTGTCCTTGTGGACGCTCCTTAGGGAAGGCAGAAGGCAAGGGGATCCCCAGCTCTAAAGTCGAGAAGCGCAATCTGGGAGCCGCCTGTGGCACAGCATTGGTAGTGGAGGCACTGGAGTGCATGGTCTCCCCAGGATGTGTGTGGGTGCATGTGTGCGTTTGAAGGAGAGAGCCAGGGCAAAGGAGCAGGGCAGACAGTGAGAGACCAGGACACGGCCAAACACAAAGGCTCTTTCAAAGGCAGAGAGCCAGGGTGGAGCAGGAGGAAGAACTCCAGGAGAATGGGGTGTCCCAGAAACCAAGGAAGGCAAGATCCAAGAAGAAACAGGGAAGGCACTGCTGGGACCCCCTCTCCAGCCAGTGCGCCCCAGGGGCAGCTCCACCTCTTCCATCATCCCCAAGCCTCAGGTCCCACCTCTCACATCCACGCATCCCCCCTTCCCTACAGAGCCCGGGGAAGGACAAGGACTCCCTGGGTCATGCTTTGGGGACCTTGGGGGAGGGGGGTGAGCAGGAAGGACAGCAGGTGACCAATAGGAGGAAAACACACCTCCCAGGTCAAAGTCCCAAGCTTTAGAGCAAAACAAGTTGTTCCGGAAAAGGGGAGGGGGGGTGCAGGGTGTGGGTGGACACTTGGCTTTGAGGCTGGTCACTGCTCTGTAGGTGTCCTCATCCAACTGAGAGGGGGTCATCTCTCCAGCTGTATGGACACAGCCGTGAGTCCCCATGGTAGCAAGTTGGATCCCCTGCTGGTCTGGCTTGGGTCCAAGATCTGGACTCAGGCCTCAACAGCCCCACAGGGCTGGACCCTGTATCCTCATCTCTGAGCCACTACTCCATCAACACTCAGTTCCTCCCTCCTGTTCCCAGCAGATCTCTGTTGCTCTGTGTCATCAGGCCCCCTTAGGCCCTCCACCCAGTTAGATCTTTTGTAATTACCCTTCAGAAAAGCCAAAGTGGTCCTCATTGCTTCTCACTGTTATTCAGTCACTACTTCATTTCTGACTCTTTGCGACCCCATGGACTGCAGCCTGCCAGGCTTCCCTGTCCTTCACTATCTCTTGGAATTTGCTCAGACTCATGTCCGAGTCAGTGAGGCCATCCAACCATCTTGCCCTCTGTTGCCCTCTTCTCCTGCCCTCAATATTTTCTAGCATCCGGGTCTTTTCTAATGAGGCAGCTCTTTCCATCAGGTGGTCAAATTATTGGAGCTTCAACTTCAGCATTAGTCTTTCCAATAAATATTCAGGGTTGATTTCCTTTAGAATTGACTGGTTTGATCTCCTTGCTGTCCAAGGGACTCTCAAGAATCTTTTCCAGCACCACAGTTGAAAAGCATCAATCCTTTTGTGCTCAGCATATCTCTCACATGTTCTCACATCTGTACATGACCACTGGAAAAACCATAGCTTTGACTATACCGATCTTTGTCAGCAAAGTAATGTCTCTGCTATGCAATATGTTGTTTAGGTTTGTCATAGCTTTTCTTTCAAGGAGTAAGCATCTTTTAATTTCAAGGCTGCAGTCACTATCCACAATCTTTGGAGCCCAAGAAAATAAAATCTGCCACTGTTTCCACTTTTTTCCCATCTATTTGCCATGAAGTGATCAGACCAGATACCATGATCTTAGTTTTTTGAGTGTTGAGTCTTAAGCCAGTTTTTTCACTCTCCTCTTTCACCTTCATCAAGAGGCTATTTAATTCCTCTTCACTTTCTGCCATTAGAGTGGTATCGTCTGCATACCTGAGGTTATTGATATTTCTCCTGGCAAACTTGATTCCAGCTTGTGATTCAACCAGCCCAACATTTCACATGATGTATCCTCAGTTCATTGCAGTTCAGTTCAGTCGCTCAGCCATGTCCGACTCTTTGCGACCCCATGACTGCAGCATGCCAGGCCTCCCTGTCCATCATCAACTCCTGGAGTTTACCCAAACCCATGTCCATTGAGTCAGTGATGCCATCCAACCATCTCATCCTCTGTCATCCCCTTCTCCTCCCGCCTTCAACCTTTCCCAGCATCAGGGTCTTTTCAAATGAGTCAGCTCTTCACATCAGGTGGCCAAAGTATTGGAGTTTCAGCTTCAACATCAGTCTTCCCAATGAACACCCAGGAATGATCTCCTTTAGGATGGACTAGTTGGATCTCCTTTCAGTCCAAGGGACTCTCAAGAGTCTTCTCCAACACCACAGTTCAAAAGCATCAATTCTTCGGTGCTCAGCTTTCTTTATAGTCCAACTCTCACATCCATACATGACCACTGGAAAAACTATAGCTTTGACTAGATGGACCTTTGTTGGCAAAGTAATGTCTCTTCTTTTTAATATGCTATCTATGTTGGTCATAACTTTCCTTCCAAGGAATAAGTGTCTTTTAATTTCATGGCTGCAGGTACCATCTGCAGTGATTTTGGAGTCCCAAAAAATAAAGTCAGCCACTGTTTCCACTGTTTCCCCATCTATTTGCCATGAAGTGATGGGATCGGATGCCATGATCTTAGTTTTCTGAATGTTGAGCTTTAAGTCAATTTTTTCACTCTCCTCTTTCACTTTCATCAAGAGGCTCTTTAGTTCTTTTTCACTTTCTGCCATAAGGGTGATGTCATCTGCATATCTGAGCTTATTGATATTTCTCTTGGCAATCTTGATTCCAGCTAGTGCTTCAAACAGTCCAGTTTCTCATGATGTACTCTGCATATAAGTTAAATAAGCAGGGTGACAATATACAGCCTTGACATACTCTTTTCCCAATTTGGAATCAAGCCATTGTTCCATGTCCAGTTCTAACTGTTACTTCTTGACCTGCATACAGATTTCTCAGGAGGCAGGTAAGGTGGCCTGGTATTCCCATCTCTTTAAGAATTTTCCACACAGTGATGGAAAAGAATTTTCCACCACTGTGATCCATATAGTCAAAGGCTTTAGCATAGTCAATGAAGCAGAAGTAGATGTTTTTTGGAACTCTCTTGCTTTTTTGATGATCCGACAGATGTTGGCAATTTGATCTCTGGTTCCTTTGCCTCTTCTAAATCCAGCTTATACATCTGGAAGTTCTCAGTTCATATACTATTGAAGCC